TTTCAATAAAAATGCTCCGTCTGGGGTACGAACCTCGTTTTCTGTACGGGAAAATCTTGCGCGTCAGACGGGGCCCCTGGCCCCCGCTGGTTTACAACAACGACACGGATCCCGTCTGATACGTCTTCAGAATTAATTCCAACATCGCGCTCTCGGGCAGGGCCTCCCTACACTTTACTATAAATTCGAGCTTTCGCGTGGTACGTCCACGTAGTGGCTTGAGACGCCGCGCCTTCGACACCTAGGAATCGCGCTTTCGCTATGAAAGTTCCCGACATGCCAGAATACTTTGGCATCGCGCTATTGCTCGAGATTTCCTCGCTAGCGATGCGACGCTTCAGCGACCCGCCCGCTCGACCCGGACTTCTGGGCCCGCCCGCCAGACCTGCGCGTTAGGGTCCGCCCGCCCGACCCGCCAGTCTGGTTCTGCCGTTTGTTTTCTTGCTCGTCACCCGCCTCCCTCCTGCTAATCTCTATCGTGTTCCTTCTTTCTCCCCTTTGTCGCTCTCTTCCTCCCTCCACTCCCCTGAGTGAGGGACTGCGTCGGATACACGCGGCAGATAGGGAAGATATACCCCCTAATGGGTGCAAAATCCAAGACGTAGAGGATGGCTATTGAGGGTTCGGGTTTTACATTGTGGGTGGCACGCGGGCAAGTACGTCCGACCAGCTTGAACATGATTGATGTTGAATACTGTTACGTGATGAAACATTATTGTTGGTCCCCCATCTCCCGTACTCATTTTGCTGTTGTATTAAAGTGTTTATTACGGGATTCGTATCTGGCTTTTTTACACGAGCAGATCTTCGGGTTCATTAATGTGTTGTTGGCCCCCAGATGGCAACAACAACAACCACAACAACAACAATTAGTTTAAGGTCGTTCGTTCTTATCTGCGGGCGTGCCATTCAACACGTATACCCCCAAGCCCTCGATACCCGCCCTGTTCGTATTCGGTCGTAACCCCATTGGGGTTATATCTGTCTTACCTGCAGCGCGTATCTAATGCAGCTCCTACGGCAGGGAAAGAGAGGACGGATGGAAGAAAGGGACAGGGGGGAGAAAGGAGGATGGAACACGAGAGAGAGAGAGAGAAAGAGAAAACAAACAAGTATAGCATGAGGGGGGCTAGGCGCAGAAGACACGTGGCAGAACCAAACGGGCAAATCGGGCGGGTAGACCCTAACAGGCGGGTCGGGAAGGCGGGCCCAGGCGGCCAGGTCGAGCAGGCGGGTTGTTGAAACGTGCGTCAAGCATGAGTCGCTAGTCTCGAGCGATAGCTCGATTCCCGAGTAGTGGTGAGATAGGCCGAAGCGAGAAAGCGTTTTCTGAGTGTCGAGGGCTCGGCGTCTGAGTAAATTGCGATGAAGTCCCACGCGAGAGCGCAATTTCTGCATACATTGTGAGGACGTCCCGCGCGAGAGTTCGATCAGGCGGGAGCCGTTGTTGTTGTTGCTGTTGTTGCTGTTGTTGTTGTGGTTGTAATTCGGGGGCCAGGGGTCCAATTCTGAGACCCAAGAATTTCCGAGATCAACAGGGTGCGAGCTTTGGGAAGGACACCTCAATCGAACAAATAGAAGGTGCCCTGGAGGGGTGATCAACAATCTTTGTTCGTGAGTAGTGGGAGTTTAGCAACAACAACAACAGCAACAACAACAGCAGCAGCAACAACAACACGGCTTTCATGTGATACATTTTTACAATTAATTCCAACATCGTTTTCTCGGGCAGGGCCCCCTCGTGGCAGTTCCCCACAATTAATTCAGAAGCCGCACCTTCGACATTCAGGAATCATGGTCTCGCTGTGGACCTCTTCAAGATTTATTTGGGAACTGCATGATCGCCCGAGATTCCCTCGCGATTCATGCAGGACTGACGCTTCAGCGACCTGCCTGCTCGATCGGGCCGCCTGGGTCCGCCTTCCCCACCCAGCTAGTAGGGTCTGCCCGCCCGATCCACCCCTACACTTTTGTTCTGCTCCTAACCTCCCTCATGCTAACCCCTCTTGTCCTCCATCCTTCCCTCTAGCCCTTGTATATTCCTTCCATCCTCCCTCCCAGGGGCTGCTCCAAATACATGTGCCAGGTAAGGACGACACACCCCCAATGGGGGCACAATCGAAAACGGAGAGGGCGGGCACCTAGGGTTTGCATGTGTCGGGTGGCACGCGAGCAGACAAGAGCGAGCAGTCTTGGATTGATTGTTGTTATTGCGTGTTTTTGTTGTTGCCTGTTGTTGTTTGTTGTCGTCGTCCTCGCCCGCGACCCGCCCGCGACCCACCCCGCGACCCCCCCGCGACCAATCCCACTCGAGACCCACGCGCCCGCCCCCTTACACTATGACCCGCAAGTGCATGGTGCTACACATTTTTTGGTCCAAAAGTGGCATAAGCTCGGGTCGGCCGAACAGGGGCGATTGGGAAATGGGGGGGCCCAAAGGGGGCGATTGGGAAATTCGGGGGGTACAGTCAAAGCGCATAGTACGGATGAGCGAGTTCCCCATCGTGCCCATTTGGCCTGTCCTTGTCAATTTTTGCAGGACGCGCTCCGCTAGAAAAGTGTTGACACGGTCTTCCAGGGCATCTGCAGCATGATCCTGCATCCTTATCCTACTTTTTAGTCAGCGGCCGCGGGCGAGCGCGCCGGCGTCGAGTCATGTCAAAGCGGGCTACGCAGCGACGAATTAAGCGAAGGCAGCGGGGGCAGGCCACGCCTAACGCGGCTAACCGAGGCCTCACGCGGCAACCCAGCGGCGGACCGGCGGGTGGCAAGGGCGGCTGAGACTGAGTCGAACTGCCAGCGTGCAGGTGTGCATGGCGGCATCCTTATCTCACGCGTTGGCTGCATGAAATCTGCTGCGCGCAGCTGGTGCCGGCCCCGCCGCCCAGGCACCTCCCTCGACACACGGTCGCTCCCGCTGGGGAATTTGCCAGGGCCCAGGGGACCAGGGCGCTGCAACACGGGACGTTGAGAGGTCCAGCTGGAGAAAGCGAGGACCGGAGCATGTTTCGACCCATGGCCGAATTTGCTTCGGGCGCGCTCGGGTCCTGGTTTGTCGAAGTCTCCATCTGTTGGGGCCCTGGAACTATCTGCATGCAGCTGCTCCCCTCGCCTGCTGCTGAAGTCAAAGCGGGCGTCAAAGTTGGGACCTTCTTCTTCCAGGGCGCCTTGCATCGTTCGGTTCTGGCCATCTTTGGCACCGTGTCCGCTTCCCCGGCCAAAGGGTACCCTTGCGGGCGCGCGCATCCTTCCTTGCCTTTCGGCGCGTTCCGAGGGCATTGCGTCCTGAAGCTTCATCCTTGCCACTGCTTCTGTCTGCATCGCCCCCCTCAGTCCGTCCGACCCGGGTGGCGGAGGCGCGTGGGCGTCTCCGCGGGGACCGCCGCCGCGAGGCCGCAACACACACAGGGTGCGCGGGGAGCGAGAGCGCCGTCGCCTCCGCGGGTGTGGGCCGGAATCCCGCTTCTGTCCCGTTGGCGACAGAGGGGCCCCGTGGCGGAGAGCAGAGCGACGACGCTACCGGCCAGAGAAAAAAGACGGACGGAGGACGCCAACGGCGCATCGATCCTTTTCTGTGTCCACGAGGGGCGGAGGCGATGGTGAAGGTGCTCTGAGCGCCTGGCCGGTCACAGGGGTTCGTTGGAGGATCGTTCTCTGCGGCGACCCCGTGGAGACGGAGCGGGGAGGACGGCCAGGTGTGCGTCTGGCCGCCGTGCCGTCGCGTGGCCCATGGCCGTCGAGGGCGCGACTGGCCGTTCGTGGAGCTGTTGCCTGCGCGCGGCTCCGGGGCGGCAGGGGGGAGGGCGACAGTGCCCCTTCGGGCCGTCCTCCCCCTCGGCTTCTTCCTCTTCGGCCTCGCGGTGCTGCTCGGTGTGCTGCCGGGCTTCGGCATCGCGGTTTGGGGGGATGCTGGGCTGGTCCGCCTCCCGCTGGGCTGGGCTGGAGCGGACCCAGGCCCTCCGCGCATCTCGTTGCACTGCCTTCTTAAAGCCAAGCCCAAGCCAAGCCAGGCGTCCTCCAACTTGCTCCCTCCTCATCCTCCTCCCTCCTCCTTCCTCCTCGTCCTACCTCCTTCCTCCTCCTTCCTCCTCCTCCTCGTCCTCGTCGTCTTCCTCCTCCTCTCCTCCTTCTCCTTCTCCTGCCTCCTCCTTCCTCCTCCTCGTCCTCCACCTGGGGGGCCTTGGGAGGCTGGCTCACTGCAGGCGAGGTGGTGGTGAAAGGAGGGGAGGCTCGAGCCCGGTGGCGGGCCTGCCCCAGGAGGGAGGGGGGGCGCACACGGAGTGTGGAGATGCACTGAGAGCGCTTGCAGCGCTCGTGGAAGGAATGAAGTGGGTCCATGGGCGCGTGGATGCTCATGAGGGGCTCTCGGGATGCTTCTCCGGGGCATCCTGGAGAGGCTCGGGCCGTCGGCGGGAGGAGGGGGCAGGAGACCAATTGTTGCCGGGCAGACGGCGACAGCACGGCGGCAAGCAAGCCTCAGCAAGGAAGGTGGCAGGGGACCGACAACACGGGGGACTGGCGGACTCCTCCTCCTCCTCCTGCTCCTCTTCCTCGTCCTCATCCTCTTCCTCCTCCTCCTCCTCCTCCTCCTCCTCCTCCTCCTCGCCGTCATCATCCTCATCACGGCCTCACAAGCCCAGCCTCTGTGCCGCGCCCCCGAGGCTATGGGGCGCGTCTCCGAGGATGCCCCGTGCGGGACGCGTCCACGCGAGCACGTACCCATGGGATGGCGCCCCAAAATCCAGACCACGAGGGCGTGGGTGTGGAGATGGTCGCCGCTTGCGATCCGCTTCCACCCCCACCTCCTTGCGGTAGGTTCGCGTTGCCTCAACGTTGGACGCCGCCAGCGACCCAGAATCGGTCGACGTTGAACGATCGGGCGTTTTGGAAAAGCCGATCGTTCAAGTCTGAGCGATGTCCGCGGTGTCAGGAGCCAACAGCAGGGCCAAAACGGCGCGACCCTGCCGTACCCCTCCCCCTTCCCCGCCCAGCCGCGCCAGGCGAGATCAACGCCTCGCTTAGCGGCTGCACCGGCACGCTGATCTCCGTCGCGGCGGACAGGATGCGGGCCCTGGGACACACACCCACACATAAATACACACAAGTTACCGGATTCCCCATAATTTCCAAAATTTCGGGGGTTTTGTCTTCCCCCCCACTTCCCATAGTTTCCCATATTTTCTGGGAATGGACGATTCATTATGTCTGTGTGCTTTTCTCCCTCCTGACAGGATGTGAGCCCCAGGGGGCGCCCGGCGGCACGGAAGAGGGTGCGCCGGCGTGTCTTTGCCGCAGTCCTGGACTTTTTCGGGCGGCCACGAGGCGGCCACGAGGCGGCCACCGGCGGCAGCGTGGCTAAGCCTCGACATGCCCGTCCGGTTGCTTAGGGGCAGGAGTAAGCAACCCTCAGGGCAGGCACAGTTTGGGGGATGTGTATATGTATGTACGTGTGTGCACGTCTCTCTCTCTCTCTATATATATATATATATGTATGTATGCATGCATGTATGTATATGTATATGTATATGTATATGTATATATATATATGTATATGTATGTGTACATGTGCATGTGTATGCATAGGTATAGGTAGATATATATATATATATGTATATGTATATGGCTGTGTATGTGTATATGTATATGTATACGTATGGGTACATGCATATGCATATGTATATATATATATATGTATATGTATAAGTATATGTATATGTATATGTAAATGGATATGTGTATGTAGATGTAGATGTATATGCATATGTATGTGTGTATGTATACCTGTGTGTATGTATGTATGAATGAATGAATGAATGAATGAATGAATGAATGAATGAATGAATGAATGAATGAATGTATGTAGTATGTATGGTTGCATGCATGCATGCATGCATGCATGCATGCATGCATGCATGCAGGCAGGCAGGCAGGTAGGTAGGTAGGTAGGTAGGTAGGTAGGTAGGTAGGTGTTTGAGCTGTGGGGTTGTCGAACGATCGGCCTCAGGGAAATCAAATTGGAGCGGCACAAGTTGCAGAACCACTGCAACGTTCGGAGCTCCGCGCGGAGGATTTCTTGGATCGGCGCTGGGCCCTCCTGGCGTGCTCCGCTCGCCAGGGAGGAGGGGGAGGGGGCAAACACCACGAACGTAAGATGTTGACCCTGAGGTCGGGAGGGCAGCGAGGATGGCGACGGTCAGAAGGGAGATGGGAGGATGAGGCTTAGACAATGCGGAAAAGACAAGCAGGAAATTTGATGGAGAGGAGGTCATGCTGTTGACAGTGATCGAGACGAGGGTTAGACTAGACCGCAAGGAGGCAGAGGACAGGAAAACTAGGAAGAGTAGGAGGAATTAATTAGTGAAACAAAGGGGAGACGTCCTCATCCTCATACGCCCCCGACTAGTTTCCCTCGTTCCCTCCGTTTCCCTCCTCTCCCTCCCCGTCCCTCTCTTCCCCATCCTTCAACACCACCTCCTCCTCCTCCTCCATCTCTGGCATCCGTCGTTAGTATCCACACCCTCCAGTACCTTATCCTTCCTCCTTCCCCCTCCAACCCGCTCCTCCCTCCTTCTCCTTCTCCTGTCCCCTCCCCCCTCGTCCACATCCTCCCACATGCTGGTCACATCCTCATTCACCTTCTCAGAATCCAGAATCTCCATCTTCCTCCTCACCCCTCCTATCCCACGAGTGACGTGCCAAGGGCCTCGTGTGTTCGGCCTTCCCAAGTCGGCGGAGCCAGGCTTCCTGTTGAGGGGCTTGTGTGTGTGAAGTGTGGGTTCGGTGGCTGATGATCAGCACCGCGCCAGGGGGGAAGGGCGAGAGGGCTGGCCTCCTGGGACGTGTTCGAAGCCTTCTTCGAAGACGCAGAGCACTTCTCAGAAGGCCAGGGTGGCTCTGAGAAGCCCCGCCGCCTGCTGCGAGGGCCTTCTCCTTCTCACTCCCCCCCCGTGCTCGCCGCGGAGATGATGGGCATCTCAACTCTTACCCGTCTTCCTCTTCCGCCTTCGTTCTGCCTCCTTCCCTCGCCTTCTCCCCGCCGGGAAGCGAGGAGGACGAGAGGAAGGGGAGGTGCGCGGGAGGTTGGCCAGCGGCCCGCTCGCCCAGGAAGTCGGTCCATGCCGCCCACGTGGGCGATTCGCGGGCAGTGCTGTGCAGGACGCTAGGAGGAGGGAGGAGGAGGAGAGAGGAGAGAGGAGGAAGAGGAGGGGGGGGGGAGGGGGAGGGGGAGGAGGAGGAGGAGGAGGAGGAGGAGGAGGAGGAGGAGGAGGAGCAGGAGGAGGAGGAGGAGGAGGAGGAGGAGCAGGAGGACGCGTGACCTCCCTCCGTGTGTGATCTCCCGCCTCGACCTCCTCGAACCTCAATGCAAGCTCCCTCAAGTGGCAGTCGCAGCGTTCACGTTACATGAGACTCTTCGGTCCCGCCCTCAGGCCAGGGAATGGCTCTCCCACGCGGCCTGCGGCAGCCTTGCCGCAGGTCATAGCGTCGCATGCCCGAGCTGTTGCACTTCCTTTTTAAGGTGCGGCCTATCTCTTCTACAATCAAATCAGCATGTTGCCCGAATCTCCCATGGGAATCCCCCTTGCCCTCATCGCCGAGTTTTTTCCACAGGTCCATGCAGAGATCCCCTTGCGACCAACGTGCCTCATCGTAACGAACAACGTGCTCGCCTTCCCGACGTGCCAGGAGGAGGATGACGACGTATGGCATAGGAGAGAGGGGGTGACGAAGACGAGGAGCAAGAGAAGGACGTGGAAGCAGGACGATGAGCAGGACGACGACGAGGGTGTTCCTCCTCTCTTTCTCCTCCTCCTCCTCCTCCTCCTCCTCCTCCTCCTCCTCCTCCTCCTCCTCCTCCTCTGTTGTTGCTGCGGGCCGATGTTGGCAGGTCCCAGGGCGATGCAAGCGCGCCGAGGTTGCCTCCGCGCGGAGCTGATCAGGAGTTGGGGTGATCTTTGCTTATCGCCTGGTGTTTTGACGCAGCATTCTAAGTACAGCCAACGCTCTGGAATGAGGCTCACTTATATTTCGATGGAGACTGGATGCTCCCGCTATGGTTCTTCTTGGCGCTCCTCGCGCATCGCGTCGCAGCTGCAGACAAAGTGGGGTTTCGCGCGGCTCCTCACGGCAGAATTTGGACTGTGCGTTCGGTGGCAAGGGTGCCCAGACGCTTTGTAATTACGGCGGGGCCGTCGGTGCAGGAATGCTCCCAAGAGGCTTCAGACCCTGGGGGATTTCTTATCTGAGGAGGGCAGCGGCGATAACCAATCTAGTCTATAAGGGGTTCCACATACCATGCCCTCATCGTACTGCACCTCCACTTTACCGCCTGAGCTGGCCCGAAGGCCTGTGGACCCCACCGCGCTCGCCCCCAGGGGCCTTTCACTGGGCGCGCGCCCCTGAGATCCGACGTCGCGACCAAGTACGGTAAGTTCGTGTCGTGTCGACCGGCGACGACCCCGCCGCTGGCGTTCAATGCTTACCACCGCCGCCGACCCAGAATCGGTCGATATGAAACGATCTGACATTGCGGAAACGGCCGATCGCTCAAGGTTTAAATGTTCCCGCGGTGTCAGGAACCAACGCCCGGGTCGACACGACACGAACCTACCGTACCCCCGCACTTCTCGAGCCAGATCGATGTGTGACGTCCCTGGGGTCCGAAACCGGGCGCAAACGCCCAGCGCGAAAATTGCAGCGCGCTGATTTTTCAAGGCCCGCGCGCGCGCCGACGCGCCGTTCGGGGGCGGCCAAGAGGAGTGTGTGATGAGAAGGCAAGGTATGAATGTTTGCCCGGATCGCATGGCCCTCTCGTCTCTTTTCAGTGCGTCACCTGGCCTCCTCCCCCTTCTGCCGCGCACGCACCTGGGGCCATGATTCACGAGCTCCTCTCTTGGATAACCCCATCTTGGACGCCACCGGAGGATCGATGAGGATCGAGGAGCCTGATGAGGAGGATCGACGAGGACCGAGGAAGAGGACCCAGGAAGAGGAGGAGGAGGAGGAGGAGAATTCAGGTGAATCGAGGAGGACCGAGGAGGAGGATCGAAAGAGCCAGGGAGAAGGATCGAGGAGGATGGAGGAGGGGGGAGGGGGATCGGAGAGGATCGAAGAAGAGGATCGAGGAGGGGGATCGAGGAAGAGGGTCGAGAGCGAGGATCGAGGAGGATGGACGAGGAGGATGGACGAGGAGGAGGAGGAGGAGTGTCGCACGGGAGTGTCTCGATCGCGATCAAAAGGGTGGCCAGGAGACATGCAAGCACCCCCGATGGCGCTCGCGGCCACGCCCTGCCACCCTGGCCGTCCCGGGGCCGACAGAGCGCGGCCAACCTACAGGCCTCGGAACAAATTAGCGAACACATGCCACATTCATCCGTCAACGCTTCCCCCTCCCCCCAATGTTCAAAGTTGGCGGTGGGTCTGATGAGATGCACTTCGACCGCAGTCTCCCCCGCGCGTGCCAACGCTGAGTTTTGGGGGGGAGGGGGAGTGTTCAGTAATTGTTTCCCTCTACCGTATCACATTCGAGCTGATTCCACCAATGTGGCTGAGAGGAGCACACTGGGAGCGGACAACGTTGCCCCAGCTCGGCGCGCTGACCTGCCCCCAAAGCCAGCCCCCCCAATGCCATGCCGCGAGCTCGCTGCTGCGCCGCCCATGATCGTTGACCCCAGCTGTAATTAGCTGACGATGCATGGCTTCTGGCACTGCACCCCGCCGCAGCCACTGTCTGCGTTCTCGCACTGCCTGGCCTTCTCGCACGCCTTGGCACCGCCGCTGAAACCCGTTTTGATTGACTTTGGCTGGCTATTGCCTTGAATGGCAGTGCTTGCTGTCACTGCCCGCTGTCTGAAACTGACAGCGCCGTTTGCCACTGACACCGCTACTACTGTTTCCTGACCGTGGTCTCGGACTGTTGCACGCGCACTCTTGAGCCTCCTCCGCACGAGCTGGTCCCAATGCTGAAACTGATAGCGTCTGCTGTCGCTACCCTCCACTGTCTCCAGTGGTGGGTACAGCGATGCAGCTGATGACGTTGGGCTCGCGCCCTTCCCCCACTCCTGCTGCCACTGCCTGCTCTTCTCGCACGTCTTGGCATTATCGCACGGCCTACTCCCAGCAGTGTAGCAAATCATGCCTGCACGGCCATTATTATACGACCTCTCCCCAGCGGTGGTGCCGATGATGCCGGTTCGCACGCTCTCGTCCGATGTGCTCCAGCATCGTGGCTGATGCTGTCGGCTCGCCCTTGGTCGCACGAGCAGGCCCCAGCGCTGGTGCTGCTGATGCAAGCTCGCGCGCCCCCTCGCAGCGTTGTGGTGGGAGGGCTCGGGTTCCAGCTCCGCCTCCCACCTCTCGGACAACAGTGTCGGAGCCGCCTGCCGTCCGCCCGTCTCGCACGCCCTGATCCCAGCGCTGTGGCTGAGGATATCGGGCTTCAGCTTCGACTTCAACCTTTCGTTTTTGGGAGCGGCAGAGCCTGCTGCTGCTGCTCGCCCTTCTCGCACGCGATGTACCGAGCGCTGTTTTTTTGACAAGCTCGCGCTGCAGCTTTGCCTCCCGCCTCCCGCAGGGTCGTGCTGGAGCCGCCTGTCGTCCCTTTTTGCATGCCCTGACACCAGCGCTGATGGCATCGGGCTCTAGCTTCGCCTTCCGCATCTCGATGAGTAGCGACAGATCCTGCTGCCGCTGCTCGCCCTTCTAGCACACAGTGCCAGGTGCTGACGCTGCACGCCTTCTCGCAAGAACAGGCTCCTACTTGGTACCTGATGACTATTTCCTGCGACCGTTTTCTCGCACACACGTGTTGCCATTGCCTGCCTGTTTTTCTCAATCAGTCGTACCAACACGGTAGTTGACGGCGTTGGTCTCTGGTCGTTTGAGTACATGCGGTTCCCATCGTTGTTGTTGAGGGTGTGTGGCTCGTGCTTGTGCGCCAGCGAGGCCTTGTCGTCACTGCTGTAGCTGGTGACGTTGGGCTCCTCTGGTTTTGTCTGCGGTGCCTTGCCCGTGCACGCTGCTGCTCAGCCACTCCCGGAGCTGCTCGATACTGCCGTGGGGCGTGCACGGGGTGCGAACTCCCGAAGACCAGAGTTCGAACTGGAGGGTGCAGTCGGAGCCCGCGAGATGGCGCGGCAAGGGCGAGGGAACAGGAGGGCGCGAGAGACTGGGGAACGAGGCGGTGGCCACCAAACGGCTGTGAAGCCTGTGGCTGGCCTGGTCTCGGTGTTGTCGCCGAGGGGGGCCGCCACCGACCTGAGGGGCTCTCGATGACAGTGCCACCCCCAAGCTGGTCATCGAAACTCCCTGCCCGAGAGGAAGGGCTGGAGGAGGAGGAGGAGGAGGAGGAGGAGCATCGAGGAGGTGCATCGAGGAGGGGCATCGAGGAGGACGCAGGGGGGGGGGGGAGCGGGATCCAGACGCGCCCCGGCCAGGAGCCGCAGCGACGGCACCAGGGGCGGCGTGGCGGTCGACCTGACGGAGGACCACAAGGTGAACCTCCCGAAGGAGCGGAGCGCGCGCGCGCGGCTCCGCCGCCAGAGGGGGCTCCGGCCTCCAGGAGATGGGCTCGATCCTCGGGCTGGCTCTTCGGCTCTTCGGCCACCTCGTCGATCCTCCTGTCCCACCCTTCTCGATCCTCCCCCCCCGATCCTCGCTCCCCCTCCCCCTCTTCGATGCTCCTCCTCGATGCCCTCCTCGATGCCCTCCTCGATCCTCCTCCAGCGTCTCGATGGCTCCCCTCTCCTCCCCGATGCTCCCCTCTCCTCCTCGATGCTCGATGCGTGTTCCAGGGGTTCTTCCCGCTTGATCCTAGAGCCTCTTCTATCCCCCTCTCGCGCCTCTGCCAGGAGGGGGCTGGTCGGCTCCCGGAGGTGCTTCCCCGCCTGGGGGTGATGTCCAGCAGCTCCGCCTCGTCCAGACCCACACGTCCAACAGTTTTTGTTGTTGTTGGCTTCGGATTCTGGGGGCCCTCGCCGGGCGCTGGGCCCTGGGAAGGGGTCGGGACTTCATTGGACCCCGCATTTCGACAATCAAGACCGCGGATGTCTGGGGAGCGCAACTCCGGCCGCCTGAGGCCCCGCCTTCCTGTGCCCTGTCTCCCTAATGAAAGCTGTGAGTAGCCCGCCTAGCTTCTAGCGGAAGAGGTTCGCTCTCGCCCCGCAGATCAAAATTTTGGATGTCTGGGGAGCGCTCCAGGGGTGCCCGAGTGGCCCCGAACGGCCTCGGCCCGAAGACCATGGCCCCCCCCCGCGACAGAGTGACTGACTTCGCTGGAGTGGCCCTCTTCGCCTGCTGCCGGCGCCACGGCGCCGCCGCCTGGCACCGCGCAGGGCCGCCCCCAGGGACGACACAGGCGCAGTCTCCAACCTCCAGTCTTAAGTCGGGTGTGTCCCCCTACAGGGGGATTTTCGACGAAAAATAAAAAGTACCCCAAAAATGCCCCAAAAAGGACCAAAAGTGTTCAAAAAATAGTCCCCAGATTATTGTTGGACAATTTTTTTATTATTTTTGAGGTAATTTCTAATTTTTCGTCGAAAATCCCCCTGTAGGGGGGCAGGCCCGACATAACTCCAGTCGGGCACTGAGGGAGCACCTCGCCAGAAGTCCATGGAGGAAGTCCGAGCCAGTTCACCCGACACCTTCACTTTCAGCGTGCCGGTCCGGTGCATGCCCCCGTCGGAGTCGCTGCTCGATGCGCGCTTGCACGGAAAAATCCTGGACGCCGATTAGCTATCCCGCCCCGGTGCAGTCGGAATGTGGTGGACCGCGCAACCGTGGAAGCGCTCGGCAGCAGCTCTCACTAGAGCGAGATTTGCCAACTGGGGTATTTGTCAGTCCTCGACACGAGTCTCCCCCCAGCAGCCCGGATCATTGGGAGCACGTAGTTAGCGTAAACATTGATCCGACGGCAGGACCCCATGCGATAATCTATTTAGAATGCCCATCGCTCGTTCCTCTTCGCCCTGTCCCCCATCCCGCCCCCTTTTGCGCCTCATCCTCCTCGTCCTCCTCGCCCTCCGTCTCCTCCTTGTCGTCCTCCTCGTTTCATTCCTCATCCCCCTCCTCCTCTTCGTCCTTTTCCTCCTCCTCCTCCTCCTCCTCCTCCTCCTCCTCCTCCTCCTCCTCCTCATGTCCATCTCGCCTGTTCTCCTCATGCACCTCTCCTACCTTCTGGCTGGGGCATGCATGTTTCGTTTCCTTCGGCGCCCTCGCCGCCGCGGCCCGCAGGTGCGTGTTTCCCGATGGCCAGACCGCGAAGCCGTTGGGACAACCGGGCAGGCCAGACCGTTGGGACAACCCCGCTCTGACCGACCCAGACGAAGCACGCCTCCTCCTCATCATTTTCCTGTTCCTTCTCCTCCTCCTCCTCCTCCTCTCCTCCTCCTCCTCCTACTCCCTCAGACCTGCGATGTATGCGAGCAGCCCGAGGGACATTGCACGACCCACTCCTCCTCCTCCTCCTCCTCCTTCTCGTCCTCCTCCTCCTCCTCCTCCTCCTCCTCCTCCTCCTCCTCGTCCTCCTCCCCATCGTCATTTTGACCCGTCCCAGTGGATACGTGCCGAAGCACGACCCAGACGAGTCACGGTTCATCCTCTTGTTCTTCCTCATATTCCCTCCTGCCTCCTCTAATGGATACGTGCAGTCCGGGGGATATTGCGCGACCCATTCCTTCCCATCTTCCTCCTCGTTCTTCTCCTCCTCCTCCTTTTCCTCCTCCTCCTCCTCCTCCTCCTCCGCCTCGGGGCCATATTAGCACCGCTCGACTTCCAACGTGGGAAGGCGGGGAACCCACACGGAGGGGTTCCCGGCTCGAGACGTCCCCTGCTGGTACCCCCACCCGATCATCGATGCCGCGTCACAGCGCCACTACGTCGATTCCTTCGCGATTTGCACACACACACACACACACACACGCACGCACGAGACTTCCACACGTGACTTCCTCCATATTCAGGCCTGGGGAGCCCAACAACGACGACAACGACAGGACTTGGATGACCCGTTCGGATTCGAACATGAAGTGCGGGCCCCAAAGGGAATGGTTCCCGTGAAAGCTCATCGCGACCGTGCGGATTTGCACATGAAGCTCGAGACCCCATACGGAGGGGCTCCGGTTCAAAACTGCCATGCGGTTCGCTAAATGACGAGTTTCCCTTTTCGAGACTTCCTCCGCATTCAGGTATCAAGAGCCCCAGATTGACGACAGCTACAGGTGTGAGGATGGCCACGTCGGATTGCTATCACGACGTGCGGGCCCCGCAAAGAGGGGAAACTCGCTTGAGACCTCTTCGCGGTTCACTCATCGACGAGGTTCCCGCTCGAGGCGCTGTCCATAATCAGGCCTGAGGAGTCCAGCAGTTCTAAGTTTAAGGTTCACTCCCTGGGATGGAACAAATGAAGTGGTGGACCCTAATGGAGGAGGCTCCCGCCTGAGACTTCCTCGCTATTCACTCACAGGCGAGATTCCCGCTTGAGGTTTCCTCCATATTCAGGCCTGGGAAGCCCAACCGCGACGACAGGCACAGGTTTGAAAAGGACCCGCTCGGATCAACAAAAACACACGAGGTGCGGGACCCATAGGGAGGGGGCTCTCGCTTGACCCTTCCTTCGCGGTGAATATGTGAATGAGTGGGTGTGTGCGTGAAAGTATGAGTGAACGCGTGAGTGCGTTTGAGATGATGATGATGATGATGATGATGATGATGATGATGATGCGGACGATGTTGGCTATGGTGGTATGGATAATGGTAATAATGATGGTGATGACGAGGATGATGAGGTTGGAGAAAATGATGATGATGTTGATGATGACGATGATGATGATGAGGATGACGATGATGATGTGCATGAGAGATGACTCGTGGATTTGAAAACACGGTGTGGTGATGGTTGTTGGTGATGGTGGTTGGTAGCGACGACGGTGATGGCGGGTGTGAGGACATGGCGTTGTAAGGACGTGTGAGAGAGAGAGAGAGAGAGCGCAGGGTCTGTGCGCGATGATGGTATGTGGCGATGACAATGGCGATAGTACTGATGAGTTTGTTGCGGATGATGGTAGTGAGTGTGTGAACAGTTGTGGGAGATAATGGGCCTGCTGAAGATGACCGTGGAACTGACGACGGCTATGATGATGGTGTTATCACGGTGTTGATGATGTTGATGTTGATGATGACGACGGTGATGTTGATGATGATGTTGATGATGCTGATTGTGGTGATGATGATGATGATGATGATGATGATGATGATGATGATGATGATGATGATGATGATGATGATGGTGATGGTGAGGGTGAGGGTGAGGCAGAGAGCGGGGAGGAGAGGGAATTCTGCGTGGGGGGTGTGCAGGGAAAACAAGAGCCCCACTTTGGATGTGTGGAATCAGTTGTCGGAGGTCTGCGCGGTTTTCTTGGGATCTGCAGTGGCCCCCTCGTGAGGCGCCTTCGGCGCCGCGTCTGGAGCCCGCAGCGACTCAGGGAGGGGGGGCTGGCGCCGGTCCAAGAAATCCGCGCGCACCTCCCTCCGAAAGTCAATGTCCACAGTAGGTTCGCGTCGTGTCGACCGATGGCGAACCCACCACTGGCGTTCAACGATGAGCGCCGTTGGCGACCCAGAATCGGTTGACGTTGATCGATCTGACGCTTCAGAAACAGCCAATATTTCAAGGTTGGTCGATTCCCGCTATGTCAGACACCAACGCTGAAGTCGGCACGACACGAACTGTTGACTTGGTTCCATCAGCAGTTGCCCCCCCCCCCCCGCCCCCCTCAGCCCCCTCCATCAGGGCAACGATAGGGAGGGATAGGCATATGAGGGGGGCTCATCGACCCCAATCGCCCATTTATCGAAAAAGGGGCCCGATGGCCCCACCCCGCCCAGGCGCATGGCGACGTGCTATCGGGGGCCTATCGCCGACTCGTCGGCGGTGTATCGCCAATTCTGGGCCGATGCCCCCCCCCCGACCTATGCCAGTCCCGTTGACCGTTGCCCTTCTCAACAGTAGTTGCCCCCTCCTCCCTGGCAGCCCCCCGAAGCCGCGCAGCCAACGGGCCACTCGTTCCGGGGGTCACTCTTGCGCACAGACGCGCCGTGGCGCGCGGGCTTTGGTGGTGAACTGACGCCTTCAGGTGAATGTCTCGATCTTCTGGCTCGATACTCCTCGATCTCTCTCCTCAACTTCGATCCTTTTCGATGTTCCTGCTCCATCCTCCTCGTACTGTCTACTCGATCATCCGACTCCCTCCTCCATCCTCCTCCTCCGCGATCCCCCTCCCCTCCTGCTCGATCCTTCTCGATCCTCACCTACTCGACCCTCCTCGGTCGTCATCCTCCATATTCCTCGATGCCCCTCCATCCTCCTCGCTCCTCCTCGCATCGATCCTCCTCGATCCTCCTCCCCTTCTATTATTATCCTCCTCCTCCTCCTCCTCTTCCTCCTCCTCTATCCTCCTCCTCCTCCGTAGCCATTTTGGCTCAAGGCTATGAACCGTCCCGACGACCGCAAG